ACTTTTCTATTTTAACCCCCTTTGTGGTACTGGGGATTGAACCCAGGGCCTTGGGCATGCTAAACACTGAGCTGTATCCCCAGCCCTTTCTAACTTTTTGAAACAGGTTCTTACTGAATTACCTAGTCTAGCCTTAAATTTGTAATCCTCCTGCCTCAGTCTTCTAAGTAACTGGGATTACAGGCATGTTCCACCAGGCCCGAGTCTATTTTCTTCTTGGTAAATTATTTTTTTCTGTTTTCTATCTCTTTGGAAACCAATTTTCACAAATTATATTTTCCTAGAAAATTGTTCGTTTCATCTAGGTTTTTAAATTTGTTTAGATATGGTTGACTGAAGTACAGTTTATTACTCTCCACTTCTAAGTCTTTAAGATAATTCCCTTAATTTGTTTATTTGAGCTTTTCCACTAGTGTCTTGATTGGATTATGTGAATTTTTTTTTCTTTTTTAGTTTATTTTTATTTTTTTTTAATATTTATTTTTTAGTTATAGGTGGACACAATATACTTATTTTATTTTTATGTGGTGCTGAGGATTGAACCCAGTGCCTCACGCATGGTATGCAAAATCTCTACCACTGAGCCACAACCCCAGCCCCAGTTTATTTTGTTTTTAAGAATCAACTTTTGGATTTATTTATTTTTATGGCTTCTGACTTATTATTTTCTGCTTCTTAATCTTTATTGAGATTCTACTTTCTGTAGTTTCTTTTCTTCCTTTGGATTCTTAGCTTACTGATATTCATTTTTATATTTGATAATATATTTATAGTCATTATTTATATTTATCAACATAAGCATTTAAGACTGCTTTTTTTTCCCTCTCTCCATTTCTTCAGCTGTATTCTATCACTGTTATGTAGCTTTTCATCTTATTCATTTATAAATAATCTGTAGTTGTAACTTTTTCTCTTTTGTCTCAAAGGTATTTAGAAGGAAATTTTTTAGGCACCTCAGTGGTAGAATTTTTTCATTTTGTTAATTTCCAGCTTCATTGTCTTGTAACCAGATAATGTCTATATTCATACTTTATAGACTTTGTTGACGATCAGTTTACTGTAAATCTGTGGATTTATTTCTGGGCTTGGTTCTGTTCCATTGATGTGTGTGTGTCTGTTTTTATGCTAATGCTGTACTATTTTGATTACTGTAGATTTTTTTGTAATGTAATTTAAAATTTTTTTTGTAATTTTTATAATGTAATTTTAGGAGTCTGCCTGTATTTTTGAGGATTTTTCATTCATATTCAAGTATTTTTAATGTCATTTTAAATTAGGAGTCAGGTGCCTCCAATTTTATTCTTTTTGCTCACGATTGCTTTGGCTATTTGAATCTTCCATGGTTCCACATGAATTTTAGGATTGATCTGTTCTTATGAAAAATGCCATTGGTATTTTGATAGGGATTTTATTGGCTGCTTTGAGTAGTATAGACATTTTAACAATATTAATTCTTCTAATCCCTGAACACAAGTTATCTTTCTATTTATTTGTGCCATCTTTAATATCATTCATTAATGCTTTGTAGGTTTTGGTCTACAGATATTTCACCTCCTTTGTTAAATTTATTCTTAAGTAATTTATTCTTTTTGATACTCTTGTAATCAGAATGTCTCTTTTAATTTCTTTTTTGGCCAGTGTGTTGTTGGTATATAGAAATGCAAGTGAGGGCAGGGGTTGTGGCTCAGCGGAGCTGTCGAGTGCTCCTCTCATGTGTGTGAAACCCTGGGTTCGATCCTCAGCACCACATAAAAATAAATAAATGAAATAAAGGTATTGTGTCCAACTACAACTAAAATAATAATAATAACAATAATAATAATAATAATAATAATTAAATAAATGCAACTGATTTTTATATGTTGATTTTTATATCCTATAACTTTATTGAATTTATTACTTCTAACAGCTTTTTTGGGGAGTCTTTTAGGGATTTGAAGTGGGTACTGGGGATTGAACTCAGGGGCACTCGACCACTGAGCCACATCCCAGCTGTATTTTGTATTTTATTTAGAGACAGGGTCTCACTGAGTTGCTTAGCGCCCCGCTTTTGCTGGGGCTGGCTTTGAACTCACAGTCTTCCTGCTTCAGCCTCCTGAGCTGCTGGGATTACAGGCTTGTGTCACTGTTCCCAGCATCTTTTAACATTTTATATGTATAAGATAATTTCATCTGAAAACACAGACAATTTTATTTCTTCTTTTCCAATTTGGTGAATTTTTAATTTCCTCCCCCTCCCCTCCCCCTCCCCCTCTCCCTCCTCTCCCCCTTCTCCTCCTCCTCCTCCTCCTCCTCCTCCTTCCCTCCCCCTCCCCCTCCTCCTTCTCCTCCTTCCTCCTCTTCCTCTTCCTCTCCTTCTCCTTCTCCTTCTTCTTCTTTTTTCCATAATAGATTTGATTAGGACTTCCAGTAGTATGTTGAGAACTGGTGAAAATGGGCATCCTTGTCTTGTTCTTATTCTTAGAGGAAATACTTTTAGCTTTTCAATATTGAGTATGATGTTAGTTATGTGCATATCATATATGGGCTTTATTATGTTTAGGAATTTTCCTTCTGTACACCTAACTTGTTGAGTTTTAATCATGAAAGGATTTTAAATTTTGTTAGATATTTTTTCTACACCTATTGGAACAATTATATGATTATTATCATTCATTCTATTAATGTGCCATGCCACATTTATTGAGTGGCATGTTTTAAACTGTCTTGCATCACAGGGATAAAGATGATGGTGATATATGATGGTTTGAAAGTGCTGTTGGATTCAGTCTGCCTATATTTTTTTGAGAATTTTTCATTCATATTCTTTAGGTTATCAGCCTGTAATATTCTTTTCTTGTAGTATCATTTTCTAGCTTTGATATTAGGGTAGTGTTGGCCTCCTAAAATGAATTTGGAAGTATTCTTTCCTCTTTAATTTTCTGGTAAGGATTTGAGAAGAATTGATGTTAATTCTTCCTAAAACATCTGGTAGAATTCACTAGTTAAGTCATCTAGTACTGTGGATATAAAAAGGAAAATTGATATTGAGTAAAACTACTAGCTTCTTTCACACAATTACATGCTGTTTCTTTTGTGCCTTTTTGTTTTCTTTCTGAATTATTTTTAATATAATTATTTAAATATGTAATGCATGGGTTCAAAAACCAAATAAACAAATGGTTACACTATGAAAATCCTCTCTCCATCTACCTAATCCTCCTGCCCAATCTCGCTAACCATCGTTGTTAGCTTCTTGTTAACCACAGTTATTATTTTCTTCATGCACATCAGAGTAAAATATGAATTTATTCTTATTTTCCCCTCCTTTTAAAGCAAGAGACCTACTTTATACACTTGGAGGCTGAGATGGAGCAGGGATGCACAGGTGCCTTCTTAGGTGATGGCCATGTGCTATTTCTTGCTTTTTATTTTGGCTACACTGGCATTCATTTTATAATGATTTGTTAAAATCTACATTTATGTTTTATGTACCATGCATGTTTTTTCACAATAAAAAAGGTTTAATAAATGAAGCCTATGACTTGATTCAAATGAGTACAATTTAATATTCAGCAATTTTATTTCTCCCATTTCAGTTTAAATACAATAGAGGAATATTAAATGAAGAAAAATAACACTGGAAAGCTCTTCTTTTAACCTAAATGACCATATCTGTGTCTTTTTATAAGGTTTGTCACCATGGTGCCCATAAATTAGTAGATTCCATTTTGGCCAAAAAAATAAATAATAATAATGCAGGTTTCAAAACTAATTTTCATTTTTTTCTATTCTGAGTTATTTGATGTAGTTTAAAATTCTTTTTGATTTGTTATATGATGCTGCTATGCAACAAAATCCAAAGTACTTTCTTTTGTTATTATATTTCCAAAATGATGTTACTATTCTTAAGGGCAGGAATGTGTCAATTTAAGACCAGATGCCTCAGGCAGTTATTTCTTATCATTAGTAGAAGAAATGCTTTAAAGATTTTTCCCTTAATTCTGACATGTTTATGAGAAAATAAATATGAGCTTAACAGCTTTGCATTTCCCTAGACTCTAATGCAATAGTGGTATTATCACTGGAAGAAATGAAAATGTGGAGTGTAAATAACATTTAGATTCTGAGCATATTCATATATCCATACAAATTTGCATATGTTGTTTTTTAACTCCTCAGAAAGTGATATAAACTTATTCTGTTATTGTTTTTTAAAATATGCTTTTACTTGTAGATGGACACAAAACCTTTATTTTATTATTTATATGTGGTGTTGAGGATCAAACCCAAGGCCCCTTATGTACTAGGCTAGTGCTTTACCACTGAGCCAGGACCTCAGCCACTGTTCTGTTATACTTTTTAAAAAAAAAAAAAAAACATTTATTTTTTAGGTGTAGATGGACACAACACAATGCCTTTATTTTTTATGTGGTGCTGAGGATCGAACCTGGGTCCTGCCTGTGCTAGACTAGCGCTCTACTGCTGAGCCACAATCCCAGTCCAGTGTTCTGTTATTCTTAATGACATCTCTTGGCATTCTCACATCACATACAAACCCCCAAAAGGGATAATGAATGGGTTGACTATGGTGACTATGAGTGTTGGGAATGTCAGTAACATTTATGCTCTTTTCCAGTTGTGCTTTGCACTCTGACCAGGTTATAGCTGGAATTTGTATGTGGGGGGATGGATTCCTTGATTAGCAACACAGTCTCTTCAGTTCCTTTTCCCCAAATTAGACCCGTTTTCATTACCATCAGTGTGAGTTTCCAAAGCCATTTAATTCACATAGAGAGGTGATATAATTTAGACAACATTAGTGTGAATTTTTTTGTCTTTAGTCTCTTTGATGAAGGAATGAAATAGAAAAATATTAATTACACCATTGCTAATTAATTTTTTCATCTGTGTGCTTTTGATTCAGAGACAAATGGGAATATTTTTAGGCTTATGGGAATTGCTCATTTATGTTTCTTATTTTCATTTTAACAATATAGTTCTGTTTTATTTTAATACAGGTACAGTCTGACAATTTGGGCTGGAAAAAATGATAACTATTCCATTGAAGATTTACTTTATATTCGAGACCATTTTAATAAAAGTCAAGTTTTCTATGACATTTTGGAACCACAAAACCATGAATTTAAACAGGCCATTGGAATCAAATTTACTCTCTAAGAAGAACATCTTCTAAATTATTTTCTGTTTTGGTTTCGTAATCCTCTGCTTTGGTCTGAATTAATTGCCATATCATGATTATAGGCTTGTGCTCAGTTTTTCTAATCAAAAAGTGCTTATTATATGCTTACTCTGTTAGACATATGTCCTTGTAATGCTTCATTTATATAAAAGATTTGATAAGAAGAGACTTCAGTGGGCTTAGTATAATAATAATTTACCAAATGTTTTCCAAAGAATGCCCTAAGGTATAATTTGCCTTTTGTTAATCAATTATTTTTTTCTCCCAGAAAATCAATTAGTTTTCTATAGAGAAAAAAATAGTTTTGGTTTTGAATGCAGACAGATTTTCTTTACAGCCCCATTTTTGTCCTTTACTAGCCACAGATTTTGGGCAATGTTAATGACATCAACTCTCACCTTCCTCATCCATAAAGTGGGGAGTAAATTGAGCATTCTCTCAGAAAGTTGTGAGGATTAAGTGAGACATTACACAGACATCTAACTCAATGCCTATCACACAGTTAATGCCCTACAGATAGTTTCTTTAAACAAAAAAAGACAACTTATGATTATGTACATTATAGATAGCTGGTTCTAAAAGATACAACACAAAACACTGTAGACATATACTTAAATAGTTACAGTATTTCTACTTTAATATTCATCTCTAGTTGAGCACAGTGCTATTTGTCATATAATACCTAAAATTTCATTTTCTGTGGTTGTTTGCTAAAAGTGAAAGGTGCAATTTCATATTAAAATTTTTACAATTGTAATAAAATTTTTTTAATTACAGTAAAAATTTTGTTTTCTACAATGACATACATTAATTACTTTTGTACAAAGACTTGACTTAATAAATAAACTGCATTTTGATGAAATTTGAAATAAAATTTATTTGTCCAGAAGGAATTGCTACTTGATTATCTTACCCTTGATAATATTTTTAAATATTAATATTATAATTCCTTTATATTGAGAAATCTATAAGCAGAATGGCACTTAGATTAAGATGTAAAGGTGTTCTTAGGGACAAAAAACACCTAAGGGAGTTATAAAATGTATTCTGTTAAAGTAAATTTTGAATGACAATCCATATGGGAAAAATAACCTTGAATCCCTACTTCACACCATACATGAGTAATTTGAGATCTTAGGCCTAAATGTGAAAGCTAAAACTATAAAGCATTTAAAAGAGAATAAGAATATTTTTGTGACTTTGGAGTAGGCAAAAGATTTTTTTTTGCTTTTGTTTTTAATAACCAGAAAGCACAAACCAGGAAAGAAAAAAATGATAAATGAACTTTATCAAATTTTAAAACTTCTCATCAAAAAACCACCACTGACACATACCTGACAGGGCTTATATTTAAAATATATGAAAAATTCCTGTAAACTCATAAGAAAAAGCCAAAAAAACTAATTAGAAATGAGAAAAGACTTGAAAAGATGCTTCACAAAAGAAGATAGTCAAATGGCCAAAAGAATATGAAAAGGTTCACAATCGCATTATTCATCCAGTAAAGGCAAATTTAAACCACAATGGAATACCAATATATACTAATGAGAAGGGCTAATTTTTTTTTTTTTTTGTACCAGAGATTGAACCCAGGGCATTAACCACTGAGCCACATCCCCAGCCACCTTTTATTATTATTTTATTTTGAGATGGGGTCTCTCAAAGTTGCTGCTGGCTTCACCATGCTGCTGAGGCTGGCTTTGAACTTGCTATCCTCCCACCTCAGCCTAGGGAGCTGCTGGGATTATAGGCATGTGACACCCTGCCTTGCAGAAAGGCTAAGAATGTTAATGAGGACCAATGGTGCATTGTAGGAAAGAAAGGAAAGCAGTTTGGCAGCTTCTTATAAAGACAGTATCTATACCCAGGGCCCAGCCATTCTCACTGTAGCATAAATTCAAGAGGAAAGAGCTAATATGTGTGCATAAAAAGATCTCTACAAGAATTTTCATGGGGTTGGGGCTCTACCTCAATGGTACAGTGCTTGCCTTGCACATGTGAGACATTGGGTTCTGTCCTCAGCACCACATAAAAATATTGTGTCAATCTACAACTAAAAAAAATTTTAAAAAAAGAATGTTCATAACAACTATATTCTTAGCCAAAAATAAACTAGAAACAACCAACTTTCCATCAATTAGAAGATTGCTAAATGGCAAAATCACTAAAAATGTTTGAACTACTGATACGTAAAACAAAAGGGTAAATATTAAAAACATGCAAAAGGAACAGTTTACATGAGCCATATAGTATAAGCATCCATTTATATGAAGTTCAAGAAGAGCCCAAACCAGTATATTGGGATAGAAGTCAGAACAGTGGTTAGCCATGGGCATGGGTAGGTTATTTTCTAAGATGAGGCATATGGGAATGTTTTGGGGTTGGTGAAAATGTTCTGTATCTTGTTCTTGTGGTTATTTCAATGTGTATATAGTCAAAAAATTATTGAATTGTACATTTTACTGTATGTAAATTATATATATGAATTTCATGTGGAAAGATGTTACAATCTATATTGGCAGGTTGTAAAAGAACATTATGGTATCATACTATTTATGTAAAATTGTATGTATTTATATTTATAGAAAAATTTTAGAAAGAAGTTCAAACACAAAAATAGGTAAATGGTTAAGTATTAACTACTTGTCCCTTCTCTAGTCTCCAGTCTAACATATTGAGATCCCAAAGACTCCAAATGCTATTGCCCACGACTGGCAGAGCAACCCTAACCCTAACTCTGATAAGAGATTCATTCAGTTGTTCAAAAATTCAGAATGACTAACTTATGCTATGTGCATGATTTTAGTCAGTTATTTCCCTGATGTGACCAGAAGACCTGACAAGAATAATTAGAGGAGAAAAAGTCTACTTTAGGACTCACAATTTCAGAAGTCTTAGACCATCGCCTGCCGACTTTTTTTCTTTGGAACCCGAGGTGAGGCAGAATATCATGGCTGAAGAGTATAGGGGAGGAAAGCAGCTAGGAACATGACATCAGGAATCAGAGCAAGCTTGCCGCAGTCTGGCTGGGCACAATTCAGGAGCCACTTGTCAAAAGAAATGAACTTTATTTTTAGAACCACACATGCCAAACAAAACAGCTCCTCAGGAAAAACCTTCAGAGCCCAACTGCCACCACCGGCTTCCCACAAGCCTCTCAACCTCCCCGACTCCTCCTGCTTTTGAGGCTGATTGGCTGGATTGTGTGGGCGGAGCAAAAAAAAAGTCCCCCAATGAGCAGCTCCTGTAGTCTGAAAGGGCGGGGAAACAGCCAAATGAGCATCGCCGCAGAGGACCCAATCAGCTAGAAGTTGCTGGGGTGCTGTGAGCCAATCATCAGCTGGCAGTCTGAAAGTTTGCTGCGGCCCCTTTGGCTGTGGCTCTCAACACAAGCTCCTGTCTTCAGGGACAGGATATACACCCCAAAGGCACACCCTCAATGACCCGCCTCCTCCGGCCATACCCTACTTGCAGACATTCACCACCCAGTTAATCCCTACTAGGTACTAATGCACTAATTAGGATAAGACTCTCATAACTGAATCATTTTGCATTGTCTCATATGTGAGCTTTTGGGGAACATCTAAAATATCTAAACCATAAGAGCATATATGAGTATATCACAATTAATTTTGTAGAACTATTACACACCAATTTAAAAATAATGAATAATAGAAGGCAGACCAATAGAGCAGAGAAAGGGAATCAGGGGAGGGGGTGAGTGAGCAAGGTATTAAAATAGAACAAATGATGTTATATGCATTTATGAATATGTCAAAATGAATTCCACTGTTATGTATGAATATAATGAACTAATAAAAAATTAAAGAAAAGCACAGTTGATTTTGGCCCTGTAAGAGTGATAGAATTGCTAATTATTCAAATATGTACTAATTTATCCAGTGGGAAATTATTAAAAGTAATTTGGAACAGTTTGTTTATTTGCTTATTTGCTAAGATTTTGGTTCTTTGCACACACACACACCCATATTTAATTGGATATCTAGTGAATATATAGAAAAATGCTCTCTAACTTCATTAACTAAGATGTAAGTCTACCTAGTAGGAGCTTATAACCTACTTATAGTCATACAGTCATGAATCAATGCAAGAAAAATGACAGTAGTGTAAAGAAATTCTTTCTATAGAAAATGAGAGGATGATGAATAAGTGGAGCCAAGAACAGCTGATAATGAGGTCTTCAAGTAGTAGGGAGGGATCCTAGGGAGCTCTGGGGACCTCAGCAGCAGGAGCTCAGGGTATAGTGTTCCAGTGGCCCAATCAATGTCAGCCTTCTACTTGCTGTAATTACTTCTCTCCCCTCTTTATACCCATCATCCTTTGGTCTGGGCACCAGTCACCTGTTTTATTTTTTTAATGAGAATCCCATGAATCCTCCCAGCTCAGTAGGAACTCTGAGGAAGGAAGGAAACAGGCATCAAATCTCTCTGTCTGATGTGCTGAGGTTCCTACCCTAAGGAGCTTATGTTCTAATGGGGAGGGAGGGAGGGAGGGAGGGAGAGAGAGAGAGAGAGAGAGAGAGAGAGAGAGAGAGAGGTGAATGATGAGTTGCACACTTGCTAAAACTCCTCAGATAGATCTGGGTGTGGTGAGAGCCTGAAGGAGACAGCAGGGAGGGCACACTTGGGCTGTGTGTTGAAAGATGAATTGGGTTCACTCATAGGAAGGGCCTTGCAGTCGGAGGGGGCACACCAGCCAGTGGGGAAGATACTGATCTGACATAGACATTTTTAAAAATCACCTGTGGGATACTAGACTCTGAGGCAGGGCCTACATTCCTTTTCTGTACTAAACTTTGTATCTTTTGTCTTAGGCAGTGGGAGGCATTGCACCTTTTTTTTAATATTTATTTTTTAGTTGGACACAATACCTTTATTTATTTTTATGTGGTGCTGAGGATTGAACCCAGGGCCTCACACATGCTAGGTGAACGTTCTACTGCTGAGCCACAACCCCATCCCCCCCATTCCCTCCACGCCCGGCCCTGCACCTTTTAAGTAGAGAAAGGTTATAATCAATTTTGAGTGTTAGAAAAGTGATCAGAGTGACAGAGGAGGAGAGAGACAAATTAGGAGACTCCGGATTCTCAAAGTGAGAGAAGATGAAGGGCAGAATTATGATGGAAGCAGAGGGGGATGGAGAAGCTCAACAGAGAAAAGGCTAAAAACGAAGAATTCTACAAAGTTTAAAACTAGTCAAATGAGTATGGGGGAGAGGGAGGGGTCTAGCGTTTTTAGGTTGGATGTCAGAAGATCAGGTGATACCACTGACCCAAATAGAAAAGAGGCCAGGTGTGGCTTTATTTCTCAGTAGCTCACTGATTTTTCTACTTCATATCAACTTTGGGGAGAGGGGGAGTGAAAACTCCATCTGCCTGATTCTGAACTTATCTTCCATTTTAAGAAAGATTTTTCTAAAAATATTAATCCTATCAGTTTTTTAAAGACCATCTTCCCTTCCCTCTCCCCACTGTGTATATACTTCTCCCCACCTAAGTAATTTTTACTTTACTACATATTTAAATTATTTCATAATTATTGCGGTTTGGACATGAGGTGTCCCCCAAAGCTCATGGATGAGTAGATGCAGGGACATTCAGAGGTGACATTATTAGATTAATTTAGTGATTGATCCATTTGATGAATTAATGATTTGAATGGATTAATAGGTGATACTGTAGGCTGATAGGGCATGGCTGAGGAAGTAGGTCATGGGGGCATGGACTTGGGGACTATACTATGTCTGGCTTCTTGTACTTTAAAGCTGTCTCCGCTTCTTGGCTGTCATAAACTGGGCAGCTTTCCTGCACCATGCCCTTTCATCTTGATGTTCTGC